AAGTCCCAGGTGGCGCCTCTCCTAGAGCACTCTCGGAGTGCTGGCAGCTGGGCCAAGCGAGGCCGCTCTCCCTAGCATGCCTCACCCAAGTACCAGGCAGTACAGAGCTCGCTGGGGCCTCCAAATGTCACGGTCCACCTAGCGGGAAATAAGGACATCCACACACAGCCAGATTTACTGAGTTTATTAAGTCGGCGGCCTGCGGGGCACTCCTGTCTCTCAAAGGCCTGCAGCCCCGAGTGCAAGGTGAGGGGTGCTTATAAGGGCAAACATCACACTCTTCCGGTTGACGTGGCAGTGACGAGAACAGAGTGGTGGGCTTGAAAGGGTAGGGTAGGGTTGTACGATGTAAGAGTAGAAGCGAATTGGTTCATCACTCCTGAGGGTAGCTCCATCCTTGCTTAAACACATTGGAGTCTTTTTTTTTTGAGAGGTTTTTGCTATAGGGCGCATGCGCTCGCCAGACAGGCAGAGAGACAGAGAGACAGAAAGCGAGAAATCACCCCCCGGGGGGATGGTCACGCCGCAAATCCCTTCTCCTCCATTCTCCTCTCGGGATCTTGGGCACGCACGCACACGCGCCCGGCGTGAGTTTTAAGCCACCGGGTCCGGGACACGAACCACGGTCGACTACGTGGGAGTCCAGCGACATAGCCATTATGCTAACTGCTGGTCCCCAACACATTGGGGTCTTAATGTTCTTTACGGCTCAGGGCAAGGGGTCTGGCTGCTGACGACATCACGAAGGGACCTCTCAGGGTAGGGAGTTTGGGGTTCTCCAGCAAAGGCCGTGGGAATGTTAGTCACTGCTGACTGTGGGCCGGAGGAGGAGGCAAATTTCCGATGCAGAGTGCACAGTGGAGGCCTGCTTCACTCCGGCATGCTCATCCGGTGGCCTGAGCGTCACGCCGGGCCTGTGTGCATGCTGAGAGGAGAATGGAAAGGGATTGTGTTGTGGCCATCACCTCTGGGCGGCAATTTCCCTTTCCCTCTCCCTGTCTTCCCAGCAAGCACAGGTGCCCTATGGCAAAAGCCAAAAGAAAAAAAAAAGGAAGCTAGTAAGTGGTGTGGTTGAGAATCACTGTCCTCACAACTTGTCCTGAGCCCTTGCCACACTCTGGACACGCCCGTGCCTGCTCTGGGACAGTCCCTCGTTGGGAGGAGGGAGTGTCTGAGCCTGCTCAGCCACCTGGCTCTCCTGGACTCACCCCCTTGTGTGTCGGCACCCAGCAAACTAGAATGACAAGCAAGGGCCGCACCAGGCAAAATCCCACTCCCCCCAGTGGCTCTTTGACCTCTTAACCCCAAAGAACCGACCTCTAGTCCGAAGGTCAGCCTCTGGCTCTGGAGTCCCCTGTGCACTGCTTTGCCCCCTGTGAAACGGACATTCCAGCCCACCTCCTGCTCACTGGCCCTCGGAGGCCCTCCCCGCCCTGCCAGCACACCCTGGGGCCCTTCCTCTGCATTAGTTCCCTCACTGCGATGTTCTTATTTGAATGTTAGGTACCCTCCCTGCACCCCAAGCCCCACAGGGCTGAGCTCTTTGTCATTTGTTACAAAACACTAGCACCTGGCGTGCCTGGCACACACTGGTGTTCAGTAAGTGCTGGCCGAGTTGACGAGTGTGTGGTGGGACACATTGGGCACTGTTTGTTCTTTAGGGCATGCGCTCTCTCTAGAGACACACAGACAGTGAGGAAGCACCCCTCGGGGGATGGCCATGCTGTCCTCCTCTCTGTTCTCTTGGGATTTGGGACATGTACGTATACGCACGCAGTGTGAGTTTCAAGCCACTGGGTTTGGGACTTGAACCATGGTTAGCCATGTGGGAACCCAGTGCCATTATGCCGCCTGCTGGTCCCAGGACTGCATGTTCTAACTGGTGTGTTCAGAAAGGCTGAGTACCTGCGGTGGGTGGGGCGAGGCAAACCGCCCTGATACCCATCTTCTGTGTATGCAACATACTAATGGTACACCCTTGAAGGTGTCCCTGTGGGTAATAGCCTTTTGGAGAGGTTTTTGCAATAGGGCCAGAGGTGCTATAGGGCGCATGAACTTGCGAGAGAGACAGAGAGACAGGAAGCGAGACAATCACTCCCCCAGAGGGGATGGCCACGCTGCAGTTCTCCTCCATGCTCCTCTCAGGATCTTGGGTACGCTTGCACACGCTCTTGGGTGGGAGTTTAAGCCACCGGCTCCGGGACTCCAGCCGCGATCAACTACGTGGGAGTCCAGCGACATAGCCATTGCCAACTGCTGGTTCCAAGTCTTTAGCTTGCAGATTTGGGGTCTGTGATAGATTAGCTAACGGTCTTCCTCCTTACTGATGGGCATTCGGATTGCTGCTGGGTTTGCAGCATTGTAGAAGGCTGCGAAAATACGGTTTTGAACGTGTGTCCTGAGCTCGTACGTGGACGTTGATGGGCACACCGAGACCGGCAGTGTGTGGTGTTTTCCCACTGCCAGACTGCGCTGCACAGGCCTGAGTAGTTGCACCATCTCACCCCGCCAGTACAGATGATCACTGCCAACCTCTGCGTCTTTGGCGACAAAAGTGTGTCTCGGCCCTGTTTCATTTCCGAGTTCGGGGGAATCCCGAAATCAGGCCTGCAGTGGGTGGAGGCAGAGAGTGGGTCTGCCGAGGGTGCCCGGGCCGCTTCTCCGGGGGGCCCAGAAAGTGGGAAAGGACCTGCCGGGCTCCAGGCCCGCCCCAGGCCCGGCTCCTCCCGAGGCCCGCGCCCCGCCCCCGGCCGGGCCCGCCCTCTGGCCTGGGCGGGAGGGGCCGGCGGCCGCGGC